AAATATGACTGATTTGAAATATTAACTGACCCCCACAGTTCTCTGTTAGGCATTGGAGACCTGATGTATTGATAGCCACAAGCAGCTTTCAGCCTAATTGCAGGATTGGGGTGGGGAAGCAGAGACAGGTATACAAGCAGTTTAAATATAAGTTGGTAAGTTTTAGGTTATAGTTAAGTGCTAGTAGCCACAGGAGCACGAAAGAAGTGTTGCAGCCACTAAAAAAAAGTTAGTATTTTGAACCCTCTCCTTCTTAGGTTATTTGGTTGAATTGAATTGAAATCCAGTAAACTACAGGATTACATTTAGTAGACACAAGTCCTACCTAAGTGATTCGAAGCATCCAGTCAATTAGTTAAAATTTATAGACACTGTTTGATTGAAACCTCTTAACAGCACCTTAGATAATGTGATAGTAAGGTGTGTATACCTATAGTCTTCCATATATATTATCCCTTGAATACTTGTAGGGTTTGGGAGATATTTGGGAAATGCAAGTACATGTTCAGTCAGGAAACCTCCCTTTCATCTTCTGTGACTTTACTACGTTTCACCCCTCCATAAAACAAGCGATTTCTCCTTAAGCGTATCTTTTAGGACCAGCTTTGAAGATTACTGTGGGCAAACATCAATGAGAAAGGACAGATGACTCCACCCTTTGCTAGGAGGCAGTGTTTCAATCATTCCTCTCTGCTTCCCTGATAGTTCAGCTGGTAAAGAATCTGCCTTCTGTGTGGGAGACCTGGGTTTGATCCCTGAGTTGGGACAATCCCCTGGAGAAGGGAAAGGCTACCCACTCCAGTATTCTGCCTGGAGAATTCCATGGACTGTATAGTCCATGGGATCACAAAGAGTCGGACACAACTGGGCGAATTTCACTTCACTTCACTTCACTCTGGTTCAGTAGTTGGAAGACTAAAAGTAAGCTGATTCAAGAAGTTTCCCTCAGTTACCCTCTGAAAATACATAGCATTTCAGATTGTCCCCCTAGAACCAGGAAACAATCGGTCCTTGAAACTATCAAGGTCTGATTAGTTCTAAACTATTTAAAGTCAAATAGAAGTGGGTGTATACATGATCAGTTACTTGGCTAGCACAATCATAACCGTGAACCAAATTAGCAATTTAAAGAGGATGCAGGAGGACATGAATCTGGTATATTTAGGGGACCAAATGAAGTAATATTAATTAAAACCTTACTGCAAATTATGATCACACTCAAGAAATGTTCCAGGTGACAGTGTTTGGGATGTTAAATCCCAAACACATAACTTGTATGTTAACTAGAGTAGTGACAATTGTGGAAGCTGCAGAAAGGCAATGAGAACTTTGCTTAATTTGAGTAAAATGATTTTTGTTGAATAAACTGTCTAAACTTGGCAAATGAAAGAACTGACAAACTGTGTCTTTTTCCTTTCTGTTGTAGATCAGATGAAACATAGAGGTATGAGAATTTGCTCAAGATCAAACTTGAGTGAAGTCACTTTTTGAGTAGTGCACTCTCAGAATGGGAACCCAGTAACAGTCAGATAATTTTCTCCTTTATTTCTTTTTTTTTCCATTTATTTTTTATTAGTTGGAGGCTAATTACTTAACAATACTGTAGTGGTTTTTGTCATATATTGACATGAATTAGCCATGGATTTACATGTATTCCCCATCCCGGTCCCCCCTCCCACCTCCCTCTCTACCCAATCTCTCTGGGTCTTCCCAGTGCACCAGGCCTGAGCACTTGTCTCATGCATCCAACCTGGGCTGGTGGTCTGTTTCACCCTAGATAACATACATGTTTTGATGCTGTTTTCTCAAAACATCCCACCCTCGCCTTCTCCCACAGAGTCCAAAAGTCTGTTCTGTACATCTGTGTCTCTTTTTCTGTTTTGCATATAGGGTTGTCATTACCATTATTATATAAATTCCATATATATGTGGAATATATATATATATATATACACACACACACAAACACACATATATATATATGTGTGTGTGTGTTAGTATACTGTAATGGTCTTTATCTTTCTGGCTTACTTCACTCTGTATAATGGGCTCCAGTTTCATCCATCTCATTAGAACTGATTCAAATGAATTCTTTTTAATGGCTGAGTAATATTCCATGGTGTATATATACCACAGCTTCCTTATCCATTCGTCTGCTGATGGGCATCTAGGTTGCTTCCATATCCTGGCTATTATAAACAGTGCTGTGATGAACATTGGGGTGCACGTGTCTCTTTCAGATCTGGTTTCCTCAGTGTGTATGCCCAGAGGTGGGATTGCTGGGTCATATGGCAGCTCTATTTTCAGTTTTTCAAGAAATCTCCACACTGTTCTCCATAGTGGCTGTACTAGTTTGCATTCCCACCAACAGTGTAAGAGGGTTCCCTTTTCTCCACACCCTCTCCAGCATTTATTGCTTGTAGACTTTTGGATAGCAGCCATCCTGGCTGGCATGTAATGGTACCTCATTGTGGTTTTGATTTGCATTTCTCTGATAATGAGTGATGTTGAGCATCTTTTCATGTGTTTGCTAGGCATCTGTATGTCTTCTTTGGAGAAATGTCTGTTTAGTTCTTTCGCCCATTTTTTAATTGGGTCATTTATTTTTCTGGAGTTGAGCTGGAGGAGTTGCTTGTATATTTTTGAGATTAATCCTTTGTCTGTTGCTTCGTTTGCTATTATTTTCTCCCAATCTGAGGGCTGTCTTTTCACCTTGCTTATAGTTTCCTTTGTTGTGCAGAAGCTTTTAAGTTTAATTAGGTCCCATTTGTTTATTTTTGCTTTTATTTCCAGTATTCTGGGAGGTGGGTCATAGAGGATCCTGCTGTGATTTATGTCAGAGAGTGTTTTCCCTATGTTCTCCTCTAGGAGTTTTATAGTTTCTGTTCTTACATTTAGATCTTTAATTCATTTTTAGTTTATTTCTGTGTATGGTGTTAGCAAGTGTTCTAGTTTCATTCTTTTACAAGTGGTTGACCAGTTTTCCCAGCACCACTTGTTAAAGAGGTTGTCTTTTTTCCATTGTATATCTTTGCCACCTTTGTTGAAGATAAGGTGTCCATTGGTTTGTGGATTTATCTCTGGGCTTTCTATTCTGTTCCATTGATCTATATTTCTGTCTTTGTGCCAGTACCATACTGTCTTGATGACTGTGGCTTTGTAGTATAGTCTGAAGTCAGGCAGGTTGATTCCTCCAGTTCCATTCTTCTTTCTCAAGATTACTTTGGCTATTCGAGGTTTTTTGCATTTCCATACAAATTGTGAAATTATTTGTTCTAGTTCTGTGAAGAATACTGTTGGTAGCTTGATAGGGATTGCATTGAATCTATAGATTGCTTTGGGTAGTATACTCATTTTGACAATATTGATTCTTCCAATCCATGAACACGGTATATTTCTCCATCTGTTTGTGTCCTCTTTGATTTCTTTCATCAGTATTTTATAGCTTTCCATGTATAGGTCTTTTGTTTTTTTAGGTAGATATACTCCTAAGTATTTTATTCTTTTTGTTGCAATGGTGAGTGGTATTGTTTCCCTAATTTCTCTTTCTGTTTTCTCATTGTTAGTGTATAGGAATGCAAGGGATTTCTGTGTGTTAATTTTATATCCTGCAACTTTACTATATTCGTTGATTAGCTCTAGTAATTTTCTGGTAGAGTCTTTAGGGTTTTCTATGTAGAGGATCATGTCATCTGCAAACAGCGAGAGTTTCACTTCTTCTTTTCCTATCTGGATTCCTTTTACTTCTTTTTCTGCTCTGATTGCTGTGGCCAAAACTTCCAAAACTATGTTGAATAGTAGTGGTGAGAGTGGGCACCCTTGTCTTGTTCCTGATTTTAGGGAAAATGCTTTCAATTTTTCACCATTGAGGGTAATGCTTGCTATGGGTTTGTCATATATAGCTTTTATTATGTTGAGGTATGTTCCTTCTATTCCTGCTTTCTGGAGAGTTTTAATTATAAATAGATGTTGAATTTTGTCGAAGGCTTTTTCTGTATCTATTGAGATAATCATATGGTTTTTATCTTTCAATTTGTTAATCTGGTGTATTACATTGATTGATTTGTGGATATTAAAGAATCCTTGCATTCTTGGGATAAAGCCCACTTGGTCATGGTGTATGATTTTTTTAATATGTTGTTGGATTCTGTTTGCTAGAATTTTGTTAAGGATTTTTGCATCTATGTTCATCAGTGATATTGGCCTGTAGTTTTCTTTTTTGTGGCATCTTTGTCTGGTTTTGGAATTAGGGTGATGCTGGCCTCATAGAATGAGTTTGGAATTTTACCTTCTTCTGCAATTTTCTGGAAGAGTTTGAGTAAGATAGGTGTTAGCTCTTGTCTACATTTTTTGGTAGAATTCAGCTGTGAAGCCATCTTCTCCTTTATTTCTTAAAAATAGAACTGCAGGTGGAGAGGGAGGTGGGGGGGGGGATTGGGATGGGAAATACATGTAAATCCATGGCTGATTCATGTCAATGTATGACAAAAACCATTACAATATTGTAAAGTAATTAGCCCCCAACTAATAAAAATAAATGAAAAAACAAAAAGAAAAAAAATAGAACTGCATGATGAAGACAGGTTGAAATAAGGCTTAAATTGTCATCATCATAGTTGTCACCTATGAGTCATGTAGAGAACAACTTCATGCTAGAACCTCAGAATAATGAATATAGCTTTCATCTCTGATAAACACTGATCATAATCTCTCCCATCAGGGATCAAAAGGAGGAATGGTAAAGATAGAAATGGAACACAAATGATGTATTACCTTTCCCAATATGTAATGAATAAATTTGTGAAATATTCTTAATAATAAATATTTATTAATTAGAACATCTGAATGATTACAAAAGAAATATAAAAAAATTAAAATCTAATAAAATAATTTGACTCATGCAACACTTTTATAAAATATGAATATAATGTAACCAGTCCATGGGCTTTAAAGGGAAATGAGGTGGCTGGCTAGGGAGGGGATGAAGTGCTGGAAGGTCACTACCCAGTCAGGGTCACAGCTGTACTGGTGGATTTCTGGGATCCTGTAGGCTTGGTCTGGCTCATATTTTTCCTGTCTATCGTTTGGATGGCTTCTTTCACCCAGTCAGCTTTAGGATCAGCACAGATTTTAAATCCTCGTCTGGTAATGAGTCTGCAATACAAGGAAAAGACAGGCAAAATTAGTCACATCCTCAAAGCCTTGGGACCGAAAGTTAAGACCAGATCACATAAAAGAGATTTTGTGCAGAAATGACTAGATAAATCAGCCTTTCAGATTCATAAGGTCATAAATGAAAATCTTTCTTCTGCAATCTATTTTTTCGTGAAGAAGAAATAGTTCCAGGTAATACCCAGATTCCTTGATCAGCATAGTTTTCAGACTCTTATCTCATCATTGCCACCAAGTGATGTAATTAAACTAGACATTTGAGGTCCTTTTTCTTTTTTCAAATCTAAGCACAGTCATCCTATCTTCTGCACAAAAGGTGATTTATTTATCTTATTTGAAGGGATGGGGTGTAAAGTGATTATATGTTGGAAGTGGTGCTATTTTGAAAATGAAATCCTGGAAAGAGAATGGTACCATGTAGGCTAGTTGTTGACACTATTCCTTGAAATGTGGCAACTGATAAAATATGGCATTCTACTCCAGGCATCAAAAAGGAAAAGAAAGGCAGGGAAGGGAGTGGGTGGGAAGAGAGACATCCCACACCAGTGTGGCTCTGTGCTCAAATCCTGATCTGATCTCTAAACCTAACCCTCCAGACTGAGCACATTATTCATCTGGTTCCCGGTCTGATTCTTCTGTTAGGATAAATCAGAAATGAGGGTGACAGTCTTCACTTGGTTGACAATTTTTTGTCATCATCATTGTTTGGGGCTACACAAAGACAAGGTTAATATGGAAAAGCAAAAGGCCTATTGGCTAAGTTGAGGTCTTCCTCCTTGTTAACTTATTTTTCCCGAAGAGGCTGGCCTTTCTATACACTGTGTTCTATCAAGCCCAGCTTTGGGCAGAGAAACTCACATCACTGCTTTCATGAAACCCTCCTTGATGATGTAGGTCTTGATGTTTTTAATTGGCAGTCGCTTTGTAGTCAGACTCACACAGATGCTCTTTTCTAGAACTTCACTCCCCACACCTGTACAGAAAACCAAGCAAACAAAAATAAAATATAATTTCCAATAATATAAATGTTAGAGTGTCATCAGTCAAATAACAAAGAGTGACCTGATAAAGAGTAGTTTGGGACAGTCAATATTAAATGTGAGAGAGGTAGCTCATTTTTGACTGAATCACTTAAAGGCATTATTTTAAATGTTAAAATGCGAAATATGTAAAGACAATAGTTCATGAGTCCTCATCCTCAATAGAAATGGCCTGGGGGGATTAAATTTAACAGTTTGAAGAATGTCTTACATTGGAGAAGGGAAAATAACTTGGAACAGTTAATGATATTAAGGGTTTCCTAAAATCTAATAAAAGTTTTTAAGTGCTGACTTTCTCCTAAGCTGAAGAGACTGATAGTTGCTTATCAGGGAAGCAAATATTCTCAGAGAAATATTCAGTGAAAAATCATCTAAAATAATAACTGATGATGATAGTTTTGAACTATAGTGTTGCTGATAACAGGAGGATTTTTATAAACATGGCACTGAGAAGATGTTCACTAACGTTGCTCTTCATCTCCCCTTCTCTCCATCCCTCAAGTATCCAGCCTACGTATTCTCTACCTGCTGTGTTTGACAATTTTCTTTAATGCTGAACTGTCTCTGAACCCAGTGAAAGAGGGAAATACCCCAGTGTCCATAATCCTCCTCAATCTTCGTTCCCCTACCCATATATGGGTTTGCACCAGCCTCTTGTTTCAGAAACATGCCAGCCAGCCACCGTTCAGGCAACATTTGGCTTAAACTTTTTGTTTTAACAGTATTTTATTTAGGGAACAATTTCAGGGACTTTCAGACAATACCATCACTATTTACAGAGAACCGTGGGGATCCATGATCAGGCTCAGATATTTTGGTCTAAGTAATAAGTCTACAGATTAGGAGTTTTAAAGGAGAGTTTCTGAAGCACTAATTATACCCCAAGGATATTCCTTCTTGTGTTCAAAGCTGCCAAGAGAAATGTACTCCAACCAGCTGAGAACAAAATGATCCTTTAAGAAATATGTGTTGAATGCTCAGTAATGTAGCTAAGTCTCAACTGGGTGTGCCTTATAGTTTATTTGACTGTATATAAGGCATTGATATTTGTTAGCACTATGGTCTCATACAAACTCAATAAATTTATCCTAAGTGGGAAACTACATTCATAACAGTAATATAGACTCTCTTACACACTTAAATGTAATATTGATTTTCTGGGTATGAAGGTATGAGCTTCCAGTCATTTTTGTTTTAATAGAAAACATTGATTTGTTTCAGAACATAACACTCTCTAGTCATTCCTGCATCACAACTGAGCTCTCAAATTTTTTGAGAATTTATCAAGATCAATATTAAATAGGCAAAAGCTTCAAAGGTATATACAATTATCATCACTGTTCCACAGCTAACATTAATTAAGAAACTAGGACTTGTGTAGTAAACTGAAAAGTTCATTATAAGTTTATTATAATTTATACTATTGATTATATATAATGATTATTTCATTTTAACCCCAGTTAAGTGTATCAGTTATCATATTCATCTTATAGACAAGTGAGCATAGGCAAAAACAAGTTAAGAAACTTATCCCAAATCACCCAGTTGTGAAAAATAGGAGCCTAGCTATTAGCCAAGATATATCTGCGAAATCCACAAGATCCTCTAGAGTCAAATTATTCCCATTTTGCACACAGGAAGACTGAGGCTTAGCTTGGAGAAAGTAGTTTACTCCATTCTAAACCTGAGTCAATACCAAAATGCCTGACCACTGTCTGTACACCTAGATGTTCCTTATCTCATAAATAGCCTTTGACTCACCTTCCACAGTGTATGCAGCGAGACTGCAGATCACCAGGCAGGTCAGGATGAGAAGTCTCATGGTTGAGGTCAGGCTGAGCTGTGAAGCAAGAGGCTGAGGACCTTGGCTCCTTTGAGTCTCTTTTATTCCCCCAGTGGTCAGAGCACTTCCTGTGCTGAGAGGGGGACTTTCAAGGTGGGTGTGGAATCATGGAAAGTCTTTGCAGTACTGGTGCTTTCTTAGTTTGAAAAAGAAGTTCCTTTGTCCCCACTCACACTAACCCCACATCTTGTGGGCTTTTCTCCTCCTCCTGTGGTTAAAGTGTCAGTGAAACCTTATGTGTGTACAAAAGAAACGTAGTTGTATCGCCTCCTGCCGCCAGTCTAAATGCAAACCTCCCATCCACGCATGTCCCAAGGCCATGTCGGTGTGATGGCCCAGGCGGGACATGGTGTAAAGGAAAGGGGTGGGATGGTGACTGTGGTCCCGTTCCCCCACTAGCTCAGGCAGCATGTGCTGTGACACGAGGCTTCCACCACCCTGGGTCATATGCCCTTGGTGACTCCTTAGGGAGCCAAAGAGATACTGTTGCTTTCCCTAGTTTCTCAGTCCTCTGCCTTCTTTTGCTTCTCATCTGTCCTCTGCCCACATTCAATTGATCCCCTTTCTTACACCACCCTTTCCACATGCCCAAGGAACATTTAAATAAGGGTGTTTGGAGCCTGTCTATATTCATAGGTTTGCTTTATTGTAGCTTACTACATGTCTTTTAAAATAGATTTTGAAAAGTTGTCCTCACATAAACTTTATTTTGGAAAAAAGAAAAAGCATTATCTATAGATGATTTTTAAGAAATTATTGTTTTAAGAAAAACAAAATTATCTATAATATTACCATTCTGATGGTTTCCATTGTTAATGATTTTCAGTGAATCCCTATTGGTATACATGTTTACACAGATGTGACAATTAAACATTTAGACTATTTTTACATCAATTAAAAATCTTCCTTTTTTTATAGTCTTCATATAAAAGAGTCTTCATACTCTGAGTAAACACAGACATATTAAGCCATTCCCTTATAACATATTGTTATGTAGACCATATCTATAAGATAAATGTTCATTAATATACACTGATAACCAGGAGTAGGATTACTAGGCAAAATCATATGATTGTCTTTATAACTCTTGCTACTATTGACATAATCTTCCCAAAATATAATTTCTCTTTGCTGTGCTTCTAGCAGTGTTTGAGGGCATCACTTGTAATGAACCCTTTCTGGCATTCAGTTTGTTGCTGGGTTTTGTCTTATTTTGTTTAGTAGGTATCTATTTAAAAAAATGTTCCTCAGTAGTGTCCGACTCTGTGCAACCTCATGGACTCCAGCCAACCAGGCTCCTCCAGGCAAGAATACTGGAGTGGATAGCTATTCCCTTCTCCAGGAGATCGTCTCTGATGCATGCATTAATTATGTATGAAGCTAAAAGGTTTTGTCATTACTATGCAGGGGTAGAAAAATAAAATTCATGTTAAGTATATGTATAGCTAAAAGTGTTTCCATTGCTATTAGGTATATGGAAGCAAATTCCTATGTTTCCTATATTCCTATAAAATTATAGGTTAAACTCTAAGATATTTTTCATCCAGGGCATTTAATTTTCCAGCCAGACTTTATTCAGAAATTTGAATATCTTTCTTGTTATCTCCACCTGGCTATACCATCAGTCCTTAAACTCAACATATCTTTCCACTCAGAATGCTCTCTCTCCTATTGCTCTGTGACACTGAATAAGGCTTTATCTTCTTTTTGGTATCTGAATACAGATTACTTGGGTCTTCTTAGACTCACTGGCTCTAAGAAGCATCTAAGACTCATAGGGTCTAAGATTACTTGGGTCTTTTTAGACCCATTGTTGGATATCCACATGTTATTTCCAAACAAGCCATACAAACAAGCCATACTAAATGTGTATGTAGCTCATGTATATGCCTTCTCCTCTCTCTCCAGAATGTCCAAGGCAGGACCTCTTCACTCCTTGTTAGGACTACGGCAGTAGACTAGCTCATTCCCAGGTCTGGGTCTCCTCCCTTTCCAAGATATTCTCCACAGCATTGCCAGAGCAATCATTCTAAAATCTTAATCTAATTGAGTTGTTTTCCTGCTGACATAAGTTTGCTAATTCCCATTGCCTACAAGATTCATTTCAAACCTCACATTTTCATATATAAATGTGTTCAGATCTAACAGTGCTTTTCCTTTAAGATTCAGCTTTCACTACTCATGACCTTGCTCTGAAACCTCTAGTCTTAACAAGTGTCTGTGAAGTCAACCAAATGGGCCATTCTCTTTTCCACTCAGTTCAGTTCAGTTGCTCAGTCGTGTCTGACTCTTTGCAACCCCAAGGACTGCAGCATGCTAGGCTTCTCTGTCCATCACCAACTCCCGGAGCTTGTTCAAACTCATGTCCATCAAGTTAGTGATGCCATCCAACCACCTCATCCTCTGTCATCCCCTTCTCTTCCTGCCTTCAATCTTTCCCAGCATCAGGGTCTTTTCCAATGAGTTAGTTCTTTGCATCAGGAGGCCAAAGTACTGGAGTTTCAGCTTCAGCATCAGTCCTTCCAATGAATATTCAGGACTGATCTCCTTTAGGATGGACTGGTTGGATCTCCTTGCAGTCCAAGGGACGCTCAAGAGTCTTCTCCAACACCACGGTTCAAAAGCATCAATTCTTTGGCGCTCAGCTTTCTTTACAGCCCGACTCTCAACACCCACATCTCTTTTCTACTACCCACTTACTATTTTCTTTATTAGGAATGCCTGTCCGAGCTCCCTACATAGCTATCTGTAAACTCTTCCTCTTCCTACAAGTTTTCCTGAATTCCTCAAGATATAATTAGTTGTGCCTCCTTCCGGGCTCTGTTGGCACTTTCTAGCCACCACTGTTCTATCACTAATCTCATTTTATTCTTCTACTCAATTACATTTCTGCATCTCCCACTAGGTGGCAGCCTCCTTGAAAATAGAGAATTGGCTTCAGTCTTGTCCCCGGCAAGGCAGCTGCTCAGTCACGTCAGTCGTGTCCAACTCTGTGTGACCCCATAGACGGCAGCCCACCAGGCTCCCATCCCTGGGATTCTCCAGGCAAGGATACTGGAGTGGGCTGCCATTTCCTTCTCCAGTGCATGAAAGTGAAAAGTGAAAGTGAAGTCGCTCTGTTGTGTCCGACTCTTCGCAACCCCATGGACTGTAGCCTACCAGGCTCTTCTGTCCATGGGAGTCCCCAGGGAGTGGGGTGCCATTGCCTTCTCCGGCAAGGCAGAATGTCTGCTATATAATATTCATTCACTAAATGGTTTTTGAATAAGTGAATTCATTTCAAGAGACCAACATTACAGTCACTGTAAATTAAATAAAAGATGAACATCTAAACACATAAATCCAGAAGTCTGTGTCTATACCTTCCTCTCATGTTTATAATCAAAAGACAATTTGACCCAAGGCTGAACTCTTGCTTACCATATTGAAATGGAGTTTCTTAAACTCTGAGAATGAAATAATTTCAGTTTTTCAAAGCTTGCGCTAGAGTCTCTAGTGGAGAGAATTGAGTAATAAACAAAGAAGTGGAAACCTAGTACACAATAGGAATAATTTGCTAATATGTAGGCACTGATTGACGACTTGTTGAAAGATAATAGCAAAAATTCTCTCATCCTTGAGTCCTCTCTTTCTCTTACATGCACCACCCAATCTGTCAGGAAATATAGTTGTCTCTCTAACTTCAAAATAGAATCTAAACCCTTCTTACTACCCCAAGAGACCCAATCCCCAGCCACCGTTTCTTCTTACCTGGATTAGTGCTTTTGTGCACTGCTATATTTGTAAGATATGTATGTATATAGCTCATGATAAAGTGAAGTTGCTCAATCATATACTACTCTGAGATCCTATTGACTATAGCTTACCAGGTTCCTCCGTTCATGGCATTTTCCAGGCAAGAGTACTGGAGTGGGTTGCCATTTCCTTCACCAGGGGATCTTCCCGACCTGGGGATCAAACCCAGGTCTTCTGCATTGTGGGCAGACGTTTTACCCTCTGAGCCACAAGGGAGGCCTTCATAGCTCGTGGTAACTACAAAGCAAAAACTTATAGTATATACACAGAAGATAAGAGATAGGAATCAAAGCATATCACTTAGAAAATCATCAATTCATAAATAAACTCAGCAAGAGGGGAAGGAAGAAACAAGGGGACTATAAAACAACTAGAAAACTATTAAAATGGCATTAGTAAGTCCAAATAAGTCAATCATAAAGGAGATCAGTCCTGAATATTCACTGGAAGGACTGATGCTGAAGCTGAAGCTCCAATACTTTGGCCACCTGATGCAAAGAACTGACTCATTGGAAAAGACCCTGATGCTGGGAAAGATTGAAGGCAGGAAGAGAAGGGGATGACAGAGGATGAGATGGTTGGATGGCATCACTGACTCAATGGGCATGAGTTTGAACAAGCTCTGGGAGTTGGTGATGGACAGGGAAGCCTAGCGTGCTGCAGTCCATGGGGTTACAAAAAGTCGGATACGACTGAGCAACTGAACTGAACTGCATGGATCATTAATTACTTTAAATGTAAATGAGTTAAATTCTCCAATCAAAAGAGATGAAGTGACTAAATGGATTTAAAAAAATGCATACTGCCTACAAGAGACTCATTTCATCTTTATGGATACACATTAACTTAAAGCAAAGGACTAGAAGATATCCCATGCATGTGGAAACCAAAAGGGAGTAGGCGTTACTGTACTTAGACAAACAACCACTCTTTACCACCTCCATAATTTAGCCTTTTCCAAAATTCTATATAGTTAAAATCATGTATTATATATACTTTTCATATTGACTTCTTTCATTAGTAATATATTTTTAAGTTCCTTCCATGTCTTTTGTGACTTTAATAGCTCATTTCTCTGTATTACTGAAGAATATATCATTGTAGGGATATGAGTGTGTTTGTGTGTGTAGCCACTCAGTCATATCCAACTCTTTGCAACTCTTTGGATTGTAGCCCACCAGCCTCCTCTGCCCATGAGATTTTCCAGGTGAGACTACTGGAGTAGATTGCCATTTTCCTTCTCCAGTGGGTCTTCCCTACCCAGGGATTAAACCCATATCGACTGGCTCTTCTGCATTGTAGGTGGATTCTTTACCCACTGAGTCATTGAGGAACCCCCCCCTCCAATGGATATACCACAGTGTATTTATCCAGCCACCTATTGAAGGACATTTTGGTTGCTCCAAGGTGAATTCCTGTTGCTTCACATCCTTCCCATGATTTGATATTATTCATGTTTTAAATTTTTGCCATTCTTATAGGTGTATAGTAGTATCTCATTATTTTTCATTTGCAATTTCCTAATGAGGTATAATGTTGAGAACCTTTTCCTATGTTTATTTTCAATCTATATATCTCCTATGGTGCTGTATTTGTTAATATCTTTTATCTGCATTATTCAATCAAGTTGTTTGCTTTCTTGTTTTCACATTTTAAGAGTTCTCTGTGTGCTTTGGGTAACATTTTTTTTTAAATCATATGTCTCTTGAAAATATTTTCTCCTAATCTGTGACATTATCTTTACTTGACAGTGTCTTTCAAAGAACAGAAATTTATAATCTTAATAAGCACCAACTTAAATTTTTCTCTTAAGGAGCACATCTTTGCTGTAAGATTTAAAGAAAAAATCATCTCCAAATCCAAGGTAATCAAGATATTGTCATATGTCATTATCTAGATGTTTAATAATTTTGCATTTTACATTTCACCTATAATATATTTTGAGTTAATTTTTCATGAAATGTGTAAGGTCTGTGTCTAGAGGGTTTTTTGCATGTGGATGTCCAGTTGTTCTAAAATTATTTCTCAAAAATATTATCCTTTCTCCCATCATACACCCTCCAGGAAGACTTGTACATTATCATGCTCCTTCCTGAGGCTGGAATATCATAGAAAGTCACTATCTGAGACCAGAATCAGTTTATTAATAACTCTGTGCTCTTAGCCAAGACAATCAATCTCTCTGTAGCTCAGTTTTCTCACCACTTAAATTGCAGTGACAATTTTAGACTCACTGTATTGTTGTATCAAATATCTATGAAAGAACATAATACTCTACAAATGTTACAATCACAGTGGAAGAATTTCCTAGTGAAGAGAGAATTATGTGACATCTTTCTTCAAATCAATGAAGAGTCCATCTTCCATTTCTTATTAATGATAGTAATCAATAATATCTAAATTCAGAAAAAATGGAGAACATTCTCAAGATAATTATTCCTTTCTCTGTGTTATTTCTATTTCTTGAGCATGCCCATGTTATTAATATTACTTGCTTCATATTGGTTCTCTTTCATCATAGTCTCATCTGCTAGATGAGCTCTTGGAGTACAGAAGTGGTGTTTTACTTATCTGGATATATACGAAGCCTAACACAGTGCCTGTTCAAGTACCTAAAAATATTTGCTGAATTGAATAAAGTTTATTCAAGCCTTAATAAACTTTACTTTGTATTATATAATTTTAGAAATATGAAAGTGCAGAATGAAGCAAATAATCTAATATGTTATTCCATTCATCCAACAAGTATTAAATAACCCTCCCTCCCAGGTCTATGGGCTTACTTGGTGGCTCAGTGGGTAAAGAATCTGCCTGCAATGCAAGAGATGCAGGAGACATGGGTTCAGTCCCTGGGTTAGGAAGATCCCCTTTAAGGGGACATGGCAACCCACCCCCAGTATTCTTGCCTGGAGAATCTCAGGGACAGAGGAGCCTGGTAGGCTACAGTCCATGGGGTCACAAAGAGTCGGACTTGACTGAAGCAACTGAGCCCGCACATCCCAGTTCTATGCTAGGCACTGGGAACCTGGCATAATAATACACAAAAGCAGCTTTCAATATAGACTGTAAATTTTAAGTTAACTTTTAGTAAAATTCAACACAGAAGCACAAAAGAGGAGTCTCAGACATTAAAAAAATATATTTAATATTTTGAGAACTCTCCTTCTTAGATTATTTCTTTGAATTGAAGTCCAATCAGCCACAGAGTCATAGTCAGTAGATACAGGTCCAACCTAAGTGATTCAAAACATCCAGTCAGTTAGTTAAAAGTTATGTGCACTGTTGGATTGAAACCTCTAGCATCACTTATGACCTTAGATAATGCAACCACAAGATGTGTATATCTATACTCTTCCACTTGTATTATTACTTCTCTTGAAAACCTCTTGTAGAGAAATGCTGGGCTAGATGAAACACAAGCTGGAATCAAGATTGCTGGGAGAAATATCAACAATCTTAGATATGCAGGTGATACCACCCTTATGGCAGATAGGGAAGAAGAACTAAAGAGCCTTTTGATGAAAGTGAAAGAGGAGAGTGAAAAAGTTGGCTTAAAACTCAACATTCAGAAAACTAAGATCATGGCATCCGGTCCCATCACTTCATGGCAGATAGATGGGGAAACAGTAGAAACAGTGACAGACTTTACATTTTTAGGCTCAAGGCTCCAAGATCACTGCAGATGGTGACTGCAGCCATGAAATTAAAAGATGCTTGCTCCTCGGAAGAAAAGGTATGACCAACCTAGACAGCATATAAAAAAGCAGAGACATTACTTTATCAACAAAGGTCCGCCTAGTTAAAGCTATGGTTTTTCCAGTAGTTATGTATGAATGTTCGAGTTGGACTATAAAGAAAGCTGAGTGCCAAAGAATTGATGCTTTTGAACCGTGATGTTGGAGAAAACTCTTGAGAGTCACTTGGAGTGCAAGGAGATCCAACCAGTCCATCCTAAAGGAAATCAGTCATGAATATTCATTGGAAGGACTGATGCTGAAGCTGAAACTCCAAAACTTTGGCCACCTGATGCAAATAACTGACTCATTGGAAAAGACCCTGATGTTGGGAAAGATCGAAGGTGGGAGGAGAAGGGGACGACAGAGGATGAGATGGTTGGATGGAATCACCAACGTGATAGACATGAGTTTGAGTAGGCTCTGGAAGTTGGTGTTGAACAGGGCCTGGCATGTTGCCGTCCATGGGGTCACAAAGACTCAGACACAACTGAGCGACTGAACTGAACTGAAAATTTCTAGCACTTCAGAGACATTTGAGAAATTCAAGTACATGTTCAATCAGGAAACATTTCTTTCATCTTCTGTGATTGGCTAGGTTTCACCCCTCATAAAACAGGTGTTTTTTTCTTTGTGTTTCCCTTAAGACCAGTTTTGAACATTATTGTAAGCAAATAGCAGTGAGAAATGACAGATAACCCCCTCTTGGCTAAGAGGCAGTGTTTTAATCATTTCCTTTCTGGTGAATAGTTGGATAACTATGACTAGACGTGATTTGATTCCTACAAAATGCCCTCAGTTACCTTCTGAAGATATTGGGATTGCTGGTTGTCCCCTTAGGACTAGAAAACAGTTAATTCCTTCCCTTCCTTTGAAACTATCAAGGATTGATCAGTTTCTTAACGATTTAAAGTCAGATAGAAGTGGATGTATACACTATCAGCTACTTGAATAATGGAATCATAAACATGAATCAAATGAACAATTTAGTGAGAATACAGGAGGGCATGAATATGAGATGTTCAGTGAGTAGATGAAGTAATGTTCATTAAAACTTTAAAAACTTTAATGGAAATTGTGATCATATTCAACAAATGTTCCAAGTGACAGTGTTGGGATACTAAAAACTTACTGGCCAAAAGGAAAAAAGCATGGTGTGTTGAAAACTAGAGTAGTGACAATTGTGAAAATCACAGAAAGTCAGTAAGCTCATTGCCCAATTTGGGAAGAATTGATTTTTGTTTGAATAAAGTATCTTTTCATTAAAAGTATAATCTTTGCTACTGTGACAAATGAAAGAATTGACAAGCTGTGTCTTTTCCTTTTCTTTCTTTCCTTTACAGATCAAATGAAACACAGAGGTCTGAGAATGTGCTCAAGATCAAACTTGATGAAGCTTCTTTTTGAGTAGTGAACCCTCATAATGGGGAACCAGTAGCAGTTAGATCGTTTTTCCATTTAATCCATAAAAATAGAACATTATGAAGACAGGTTGAAATAGAGCCAAAATTATCATTATTACAGTTGCCACCTATGACTCATGTGTAGAGAATCATTTCATGCTACAGCCTAAAAATGATGAATATAGCTTTCATCTCTGATAAACACTGACCATAATCTCTCCCATCATGGATGCTGCCAACAGGAGTACAATTAAAACAGAAAAGGGACACAAATGATGTATTACCTTCCCCAATATATAATGAATACACTTTGGGACTATTCTTAATAATAAATATTTATTATTTAGAGCATCTATATGAATATGAAAGAGACAAAAAAATAAAAATCTAAGAAAGTAGATTCATGCAACACTTTTATAAAAGGTGAATATAATGTAATAAGTCCATGAGCTTTAAAGGGAAATGAGGTGGCTGGCTAGGGAGAGGACAAGGTGCTGGAAGGTCACTACCCAGTCAGGGTCACAGCTGTTTTGGGGGATTGTTGGGCTTCTGTAGGCTTGGTCTGGCTCACACTTCTCCTGTTGGACTTGTCTATTGTTCGGACAGCTTTTTTCACCCAGTCAACGTGGGGATCAGCACAGACTTTAAGGCCACGTCTGGTAATGAATCTGTAATGCAAGGAAAAGATAGGCAAAATTAGTCACATCTCCAAAGCCTTGGGACCAAAAGTTAAGATCAGATTGTATAAAAGAGATTTTGTGCAGAAATGACTGGGCAAATCAGTATTCTAGATACATTAGATCTTAAATGAAAATCTTTCTTCTGCAATCTATTTTTTTCATGAAGAAAAAATAGCTCCAGATAATACCCAGATTCCTTGTTCAGAATTTTGTGTAGGTTCCTTTCCTCATCATTGCTAACAAATGATGTAATTAAACTAGACATTTGAAGCCATCTAGATTATTTATTACATGTCATTTTCTTTTTGAAATCTAAACACATTCATCTTACTTTCTGGACAAAAAGTGGTTTCTTTACCATATTTTTGGTGGTAAAGTTGTAATTATATTTTGGGAAGTGTTGCTATTTTGAAAATGAAATCCTGGAAAGAGAATGGTACCATGTAGGCTAGTTGTTAACACTATTCCTTGAGATGTGGCAACTGATAAAATATGGCATTCTACTCCAAGACACCAAAAAGGAAGAGAAAGGCAGGGATGTGACTGGGATGGGAAGGGAGGCATCCCACACCAGTGTGGCTCTGTGCTCAAATCCTGATCTGATCCAGCCATCTCTAAACCTAACCTTCCAGACCGAGCACATTATTCATCTAGTTCCTGGTCTGATTCTTCTGTTAAGATAAGTCGGAAAGGAGGGTGACAGTCTTCACTTGGTTGACAATTTTTTGTCATCATCATTGTTTGGGGCTACACAAGACATGGTTAATATGGAAAAGCAAAAGATCTATTGGCTAAGTTGAGGTCTTCCTCCTTGTTAACTTATTTTTCCCGAGGAGGCCAGCCTTTCTGTACACTGTGTTCCATCAAGCCCAGCTTTGGGCAGAGAAACTCACATCACTGCTTTCATGGAGCCCTCCTTGATGGTGTAGGTCTTGATGTTTTTAATTGGCAGTCGCTGTGTAGTCAGACTCACACAGATGCTCTTTTCTAGAACTTCACTCCCCACACCTGTACAGAAAATCAAGCAAACAAAACTAAAATGTAATTTCTAATAATATAAATGTTACAGTGTCATCAATCAAATAACAAAGAGTGACCTGATAAAGAGTAGTTTGGGGCAGTCAATATTGAACATGGGAGAGGTAGCTCATTTTTTACTGAATCCATAAAGGTGTTGTTTTAAATAGTAAAATGTGAAATATGTAAAGGAAGTAGTTCATAAAGTTCTTATCCTCAATAGAAGGACTAAAAGGAGATTAAATTTTTCAGTTTTGAGAACATCTTACATCAGAGAAAGGAAAATAACATGGGAGGGTTAATAATGTCACAGATTTGCTAAAATCTAATGAAGGTTTCTGTGTGCCTATTTTCCCCTAAGTTGAAGAGACTGGTATTTGCTTCTCAGGGAAGCAAACATTCTTACAGAATACTTCTCTGAGAAATATTAAGCCAAAAAGCACCTAAAATAATAGTCTATAATGATCAAATCTGAGCTTTCTGACGTAGTGTTGCTGAAATCAGAAGGTTTTTATAATCATGACGCTGAGCAGGTGTTCACCAACATTGCTCTTCATCTCCTCTTTCTATCACTCAATATCCAGCCTGCACATTCTTTACCCTCTATATTTGCCAATTTATTTTTAATGCTGAAAACCCAGTGAAAGGGAAATACTCAAATGTCTGCAATCCTCATCAGTCTTCATTCCCCTATTCATACATGGTTTTCATCATATGGCAGCCTATTTTTCCCAGAAAAATGCCAGCTAGCCATGGTTTAGACAACACTTGGTATAAACTTTTTCATTTCAACAATATTTTTTTTATTCAAGGCCCAATTTCAGGGGGTTGTGGAGAGTGCCGTCTCTATTTATTGGCACCCTTGCAGATACATGGTCTATTCTAGTCTAAGTAAAAAGGCTGTAGATTAAGAGGTTGAAAGGCGAGTTAACTGAGTTATTAATTATAACCAAAGGATATTCTGTCTTGTCAGAGGCATAAGGAAAAATACGCTCCGACCAGTTGGGAAAAAAAAATGATCTTTTAAGAAATATGTGAAGAATGTTCAGGAAAGGCTCAGTGTAACTAAATCTCATCTGGATATGTCTTGTAAGTTTAATTGATTGTATATAAGTCATTGATATTTGTTAGTACTTATGGTCTTTTATAAACTCAAGAAATTTATCACAAGTGGGAATAACATTCATAGCAATAATAATATTCTCTCCTACACACTTAAAGGTAAAAATTGATATCCTAGATATGAGGTCATGAGCTTCCAGTCAATTCTGTTTTAATACAAAACGTTGATTTGCTTCAGAACATACATCCTCTAGCTCACTCTCCCATCATGAATACTTTACATTTTTAAGCAATTTTTTGAGATATGGAGCAGTTATCTTTACTGAACAAACACATTATTTAATCCCTGGTATATCTATTTCTATTTTTTGAACTTTTTATTTTGTATTGGGGTATAGCCAATTAACAATGTTATGATAATTTCAGGTTAACAGCAAAGGGGTAAATATTTTTAATTTATCAATACTAAATAGGCAAACGCTTCAAAGGTATATACAATTGTTTTCATTATGCTGCACCTAACATTAATAAAATATTAGTATTTGCCTGGAAATCTGATAAATGATCATAAGATTTATTTCATTTTAATTGTAGGTAAGCAAATTAGTTATTACATTTATCTTAAAGATAACTAAACCTAGGCCCGGAAAGGTTAAGAAATTTACCCCAAATCACCTAGTTGTGAAAAATAGGAGCCCAGACTCTTATCAAGTTCTATCTTCAAAATCTACAAAGTCCCCTAGAGTCAAATTATACCCATTTTGCACACAGAAAGACTGAGGCTTAGCTTGGAGAAAGTAGTTTACTCCATTCTAAACCTGAGTCAATACCAAAATGCCCGGCCACTGCCTGTACACCTAGATATTCCTTATCTCGTAAATAACTTGACTCACCTTCCACAGTGTGTGCAGAGAGACTGCAGATCACCAGGCAGGTCAGGATGAGAAGTCTCATGGCTGAGGTCCCCTGAGCTGTGCAGCAAGAGGCTGAGGACCTTGGCTCCTCTGAGTCTCTTTTATTCCCCCAGTGGTCAGCGCACTTCCTGTGCTGAGAGGGGGACTTTCAGGGTGGGTGTGGAATCACGGAAAGTCTTTGCAGTACTGGTGCTTTCTTAGTTTGAAAAAAAAGTTCCTTTGTCTCCACTCACACTAACCCCACATCTTGTGGGCTTTTCTCCTCCTCCTGTGGTTAAAGTGTCAGTGAAACCTTATGTGTGTACAAAAGAAACGTAGTTGTCTCGTCTCCTGCCGCCAGTCTAAATGCAAACCTCCCATCCACGCATGTCCCAAGGCCATGTCGGTGTGATGGCCCAGGCGGGACATGGTGTAAAGGAACGGGGTGGGATGGTGACTGTGGTCCCATTCCCCCACTAGCTCAGGCAGCATGTGCTGTGACACGAGGCTTCCACCACTGGATAATATGCCCGGGGGTACCATCCTTGGGGAAAAGGAAAGGGCAGCCCACTCCAGTATTCTTGCCTGGAGAATCCCACGGAGAGAGGAGCCTGGCAGGCTATATATAGTCCATGGGGTTGCAAGAGTTGGACACGACTTAGCGACTAAATCACCACCACCATCCTTGGTGACTCCTTAGGGAGCCAAAGTGAGACTGCTGCTTTCCCGAGCTTCTCATTCCTCTGCCTTCTTTTCTTCTCTTTTCTCTCCTTTGTTCCCATTCAATTGATCCCCTTTATTACTCCACTCTTTCCACATGCCAAGAAACAATTAAATAAGGGTGTTTATAGCCTGTCTATATTCACAGGTTTGCTTTATTGTAGTTTACTACATATAGTTTTTAAAAACGATTTTGAAAATTTGTCCTGACAAACTTTATTTTCAAAAAAAGTAAAACAAAATTATAATATTACCATTCAGATTGTTTTTATTTTTAATGTTTTTCAGTGAGTCTCTATTGGAATATATATGTTTGGATAATTGTGAAAATTACAAATCCTAATATTTTTACGGCAATGTAAATATCCTCCCATGTTTCTTCATAATCTTCATATTTCTACTGTGTAAATGCATACAAAGGGACTTCCCTGGTGGTTGAGTGGTAAAGAACCTGCCTGCCAAGCAGGAGACACAGGTTAGATCCCTGGGTCAGGAAGATTCCCCGAAAAAAGGAATGGCAATCCACTTCAGCATTCTTGCCTAGGAAATCCCATGGACAGCGGAGTCTGGCTGGCTATAGTCCATGGAGTCACAAAAAAGTTGAACAAGACTTAGAGACTTAATAACAACAAACACACACAGAGACACATTAAATTATCCCCTTATAACTTATTGTCATGTAGACTATATCTGTAAGGTAAATTGCCTTTAATATACACTGAATAAATTCCTTTTAGTAACCAGGAGTAAGATTACCAGGCAAAATCCTATGATCATCTTTATAACTCTTGCAACATATTGACATAGTCTTCCCAAAATGTCATTTCAATTTCCAATGCTTCTAGCAGCATTTGACTGTATCAGTTACAATATAATCTTTCTGGCACTTGATTTGTTGTTTTGGGGTTTTGTCTTGTTTTGTTTAATAGGTATCTATAAAACACATGTGTTAATTATGTGTGACGCTAAAAGGTCTTGTCATTACTATTCAGGGATATGAAAATAACATTCTCATGAAATATATGTATAGCTAAAAGCTTTTGCCATTGCTATTAGTGATATGAAAACAAATTCCTGTATTTTTATAAAATTATAGGTTACATTTTAAGGCATTATTCATCAATGGTATTTAATTTTCCAGTCAAACTATTCAGAGCTTCAAATAACTTTTTAGTTATTGCCACCTGGCTACCATCAGTCCTTAAATTCTGAACACATCTTGCTACTCAAAATGTTTCTCTTCCTATTACTCTGTGACACTGAATAAGGCTTTATCTTCGATATGGAGAAAACACAGTACTCAGATTTTCAACTGGGTGGACCATCAGCACTCCTTTCCAACCTGGAGTTACTCAAGGGTCGGCCTTATTTGACATTCAGAAAAACGCAAAACTACGAGAAAAGAGGGAGAGAACAGAGCAGTAATTTCCAAGAGCTGGAAGTGTGGGAGGCAGCTGACTACAAAGGGAAGAAGAGAACTTTGGGGGTGGGGATGGAGCGGTCCTAAATTTTTACTGTAGTGGCAGTTACATGACTATACATTTTCCAAAACTCATAGAAGTGTACACTGATAAAGGATCAAGTTTATTGTATGTGAATTAAACCTCAATAAACTTGACAAGAACCAACCCCCCCCCCCCAAAAAAAAAGGCTTTATCTTCTAGTCAGTTCCCAAATACAGATTTCTGAGATCATCTTAGACTCATTCCTAGCCACCCATATGTTTTTCTCAAGCAAGCTGTACTAAGTATACCTTCTATGTAGCTGTTGTATCCATGTTCTCTCTCTCTGCACTGTCCAAGGCAGGACCTCCCCATTCCTTGTTAGGACCCCTGCAGTAGACCAACTAATTCCCCAGGTTTGGGTCCCCTCCCTTTCCAATCTGTTCTTCTCAGTATTACCTGAATAATCATTCTAAAGCCTTAATCTAATCGAGTTGTCTTCCTGCTGAGAATTTCTTTGCTAATTCCTATTGCTTACAGGATTCATTTCAAATCTCATATTGTCTTATATAAAAATGTTCAAGATTTAACACTGCTTTTCCTTTAAGACTCATATTTCACCACTCATCCTTTTGCTCCTGAACCTCTAGACTTAACAAATGTCTGTTTAACCAACCAAATGGGCCATCCTCTTTTCTAATCCCCACTTTTGTTTCCTTCATTTGGAATAACCATTTCATATCCCTATATAATTATGTGTAAATTCCTCCTCTTCCTACAAGTTTTCCTGAATTATCTATACACATTTATCTATGCCTCCTTCTATGCTCTCTTGGAACTTCCTAGCCACTAATTTCATTTTATTCTCCACTCAGTTTCATTTTTCTATCTCCTACCAGATGGCAAGCTCCTTGAAAGTAGGCAGTTTGCCTCAGGTCTGTCTACTAGTGGAATGTCTGCTATATAGTGGTCATTCACCAAATGGTCTGTGAATAAATGAGTTCTTTTCAAAAGACCAGAATTAAAATGATTTTACATTAAGTAAAGGATGAACATCTAAAAACATTGTGCCTAAACATTGTGCCAGAATATTGTGCCTATATCTTCCTCTCATGTTTATAATCACATAGAGAATTTGACCCATGACTGAATTCTTACTTAGCATATTGAAATAGAGCTTCTTAAACTCTGAGAATGAATTATTCATTTCAAGTTTTTCAAAGCATGCACTAGTCTCTGATGGAGAATAATTAAGCAATCAATAAAAATTGGAAACCTAGCACAAAATGAGTATATATCTGTTAATGTTTGGACATTGATTGACAACCAGTTGAGAGATTGTAGCAAAAATTTCTCTCATCTTTGACTCCTCTTTCGCCTACAAGTCCCAACAAATCTGTCAGAAAATACTGTTGTCTCTGTCTTCAAAATAGAATTTAAACCTTTCTCATTACCCCAAGGGATCCAAGTCTAAGCAAACATCATTTTTCACCTCGATTGGTGGATTCATGGAATAGCCTCCAAAATAGATTTCTTTATTCCACCCTTACTTTCTTTTGGCAAATTTACAATCTAACAAATGTGATCATTTCAAAACGTGAGCAATATGCTAATTTTCTGCTCAAAATTCCTTCAGTGGAATGTATTTTCATGAGTGAACTCCAAAGTCTTTTTACTCCCTGTGTGTTGTTGAACATGGGCTTCCCTTGTGGCTCAACAGTAAAGAATACGCCTGCAATGCAGGAGATGCAGGAGACGAGGATTTGATCCTTCGGTAGGGAAGATCACCTAGAGGAGGAAATAGCTACCCATTCCAGTATTCTTGCCTGAAAAATCCCGTGGACAGAGGAGCCTGGCAGGCTATAGTCCAAAGGGTTACAAAGAGTCAGACACAACTGAGCAACTATGTGATCCAGGCACATAGTAAGTCCTTATTGTATCAATAATTACTATAAATGTAGATGGATTAAATTCTCCAATCAAAAGGCGTGGAGTGACTAAATGGATTTTTTTTTTTAAAAAGGTCCAAGTACATACTGCCTACAGTAGACTCACTTCATCTTTAAAGGCACACATCAGTTGGAGTAAGGGAATGGAAGAAAAGATATTCCCATGAAAGTGGAAACCAAGAGGCAACAGGAGTAGCTGTATTTATATCAGACAAAATAGACTTTAGGCCAAAAACCATAACAAAGTGACAGAATGTTTTTATATAATGATAAAAGGGTCAGTTCATTGTGAGGATATAACAACTCTAAAGACCCTAAATACATAGCACACTTAACAAGCATTTATAAATCCCTTCAGAATCTATCCTCCCATCTCCTGTTGACTCTCTGACATCATATTCTGCTCCTCTCCCCACCTTGTTTCTTCACTGCAGTCACAATGATCTCCCTGTTGTTTTTCAGACATGTCAGGATGCTCCTGCCTTTAAGTCTTTTCACTTGCTAGTTACTTCACCTGGTATTTTCTTCGCTTAGAAATAAGCAAGGCTCAGTCCCTCAACCCCTTCAGTTTTTTGCTCAAATATTTCTTTCTGATTATGGCTTTCCCTGACCACCTAGTTTAAAACTGTACACATATACCAATTCTGGTCTCACTTGATCTCTCATTGCTGCTCTACTTTTATTAATAGGACCTAGCACCTTCTAATAAGACAAGAATTTACCTTTTTTTTTTATTATGCACCCTTTTCCTGGAATTATCTTTTTTATTTCCTCAGAGTCTAGGATAATGCTTGGCACTAAAAAAAAGGACAAGAATTAAAGATATTATTTTGTTCTTTGTTTTCTTTCATTCATTTTTGTCCTTTAAAAAAAATGGAACCTTAGGAGAATGAATGCTATCCACTTATTGCAACATGAATGGACCTAGAGATATTCATACTGAGTAAAGT